AAAAAAAAAAAGAGAGAATGAGAGAGAGGGGAGAGAAAACAGAGGGGAAGGGGGAAGAAAAGAGACAAAAAAGAAAAGAAAGAAAAGAAGAAAAGAAGAGCTTAAGCAGCGAAGCTCCCCACTGGATTCAACAGAAGACGCTTCTAGATCGTGTCTTAAGTGAGCATCTCTTGCACAATTTGCACAGCAAACTTAACCCGGATTGCCTGAGGTAATGCTGCTCATTTCTCACACAGGTAGCTCTACGCCTGTTTAAGAAGAGTGGGTTAAATACTGAAGTGGAAGTGACCAACATCCAAACAACTTATTTAACAACTCATGCTGGAAACTTTTATCGACAATATGGGACTTATATGCTTCATGTAGCTAAATGATAAACTAAACCAGCAGTTTGTGCTTGGCAGAGATAACATTGTTCAGCCTTGCCAGCTTGTCATAGGCTGTGATTCGCCATACAGCACACTCTTGATCTCTGGGGTAGGATTCATTATCCCTCAATTTTGTGTAATTTTTAAGAGGCCAACCTTACATAAGCAGTAATGAGCATGGAGGCATTCAGGTCACGCAGCCAAAACCACATTCTGCTTTCAATCACTGCATATCCTGAATATTTGCTTTCTTTTTACAGAAACTGAAGAGGTCAACGAAAAATCAGTAAAAGCTGCCTTTCCAGTGTGCTTGGAGGAGACCAGCTCATAAATGCAAAACATATGTTGTTTGAACAGGCACAAAAGCTGACTGCGATAATGAGCTCAGCATAACTGTGACACAACGACCGTAAAAAGGAAAGATGTTCAACTCCGCTTTGACAGCAGAAAGATTATCTTCTGTCACTGTCAGAAAATCAGGGGGTCCCATACAGTGACAAGCAAGGATTTTTAATTTTTTATTCATTTCTTTTTAAGCCTTGTTAGGACTCCATATTACGAACACATAACCCATCTGGCAAGGGGCAGGAAGAACACTGACAGGATTGCCAGCAAGTGCCCTCACGCTTCGCTGTCTGTGTTGTCTCTCTGTCCTGCTCACAAGGGAGCACCAGTGACTGTGGGAGGGGGTAAGTTTTCCTCGCCCACTTGCTGTGCGGACTCTTTGCACAGGCTGACAGTGGAGGCACTAGCAGAGTTCAAAGAGAAATCTTTATCTACTAATTTGCTGACTATATTTTAGCTCTGTCTTCGTGACTTGTCTAAAGACACCTGCTGATATTCTTACATCTTCTTCCCTTATCTTCCAGCTGGTTGTGAAATAATATTGCCACCGGGTTTCTGGGCTGGAGACAGTTCTTGGGCAGCTCAAAACGAACACAAATAAACTCAGTACAGAGGGGGTTTAAGCTGGACTGATCAAAATTATGAGTAAAGTGTTTCCTTTGAAAATATTTCAAAACCTTTTCATCAACACTGATTATTATATCCCATGAATGCTGATTATTATTCTATGGACAAAGGATGAAAAGAACAGGAAGTTCCTATTTTCCTGTAAAAGTCTGAAAGTTGTTAAAAAAAAGTTCTCTCAGGATACAATATGCCAAGTGCACTGAATACAAATACAATATTTCAAATAGAATTTTCAGTTAATGTCCATCACAAGGTAAAATGTCTTTTTTGCTCACAAATTAGGAAATACAGAATTCAGTTTCTAGTGCGAATTACCAGCACTTACAGTTACAAGTTTTAAGCAAGACTTCTGTGAAGAATTGCTCATATTTAGAGCTCTCCATCTCCATGTATAATCTTGTAAGTACACAGATCTATTACATTAAAAAGGGAGAGAAGCAAGACTGCAAGGATGGGACGAACACGATATAAGTAGTTTAAAGTCAAATGGGCTATCTTCAAAATATTTTGCAGTGCATTACTTTTGCTGGAATTGTATGGAGATCACAAGATCAGACCAACTGAGTAAGCACGCTGTCTTGTTCATCTTGGCTTGCAGTATTTATGTGAGATGCTGCTTACTTCCCTTGATTGAAGTTACATTTGTGTATGAAGACGGAACTAGATTTCAGCATCATAAAAGGAAGAGCAATCTTTATTAATAGTAAATCTACCATAAATATTCCACGTGACCTTTAGGAAGTCTTCTATACTATTTTACAACAATATTTTATATTTTACCTGAGGTCCACTGGTTTCCTTAGCATTTAAGATTGGCATCTGGACTCTGAATCGAGATGCACCATTCAGGAAGGTTTTAGAACTCTGGAAAAAAAAACAAAACAAAAACCACCCATACTTTCGTTGCTTGTTCTTTAAAGGATTACATTAGTGTCAATCTTTTTTCTGCTATGAAAGTCTTTGTTCATTATAACGTAAACATAACCCCAAACGGAGCATCTTTAATTTAACGACTGTGTAGTTTGGGCTTTTAAAGTTCTTATGGAGACCTATGGCAATGTACATAAAACGCAATCACAAACTTGTTTGAAGGCTAACTTCATACTGGTTTTATATAGAGGCAGCATACTGAATTCAGAGCACAGTCATGCCATTCTTAACATCTTTAGCTGCTTCTTCCTCTACTGACCTGTCATTGACATTGCAAACTTAGGTTTTTTCTCATAAGCAGATGATCCTGGTAGCAACTACAGAAATTGACTTGTTTCAGGCAAATCTTGATTCTTCATTTCCCTATCCCTTTACGATAAAAGTTTATGCCTTTAGCTTATGCTCACTATATTCTTCTAACCCAGAAATGGACTGTGCTCTTGTGGGTAGGAGGATTAATGAAGAGTCTGAGCACCTCCAGCATGCTTAGTACAGAAATTGAGGCAATAAGTTGTATTTTAGGCCCCAGACAGACCTGCTCTTTACACTACTTAGTAACAAATGCATAAGTGTATCAGTTCACACCAAAATTCCATTCATTGGAAAACATAATTCTGAGATCCTTGGTCTAAAAAGATTTACCGGGGACACAAAGGTTTGTCCGCCGAGTTAAACATACAGCTTCAAAGTAGGTTTGGAGTCAGGCAGGGGTAACCTAATGCTAAGACCACAAGAGGCACTGTGCACTTCTCAGAAACGAGATGTCTAATCACACTCTGGATGCCACATTAAAAAAACAAAGTAAAACAAAAAACCTCAAGCCCTGCCCCAAATGAAACCCCCAAAACCCACCACCACAAATAAAAAAAGAATGCCCATTCTCACTGACCATTTTAATTCAAAATGAATCACTAGGTAATTCTTCCCCAACAAAAATATGTATTGCAGTATTCTTTAGACAAACTGCCATTCATCAACCAAATCCTTCTAAAATGGCAAAAAATTTTTGAGCATAAACTAAAGTATTTCTTCTGCTCAATGCAGAGCTGAGGCACAAGCAGTCTTGTGCATTCCCTGAAACAAACAAACAACACTCGAACCCCCAGGGTCTGATATAACAGATCTTTAAATTTTATCTTACAGAAAATTAGGCTCTTGTCAAAAAAGTGATTTACAATAATCTGTAGGGAAGAAAATCCATTATCTAGAGACAAGTCATCTACATCTTTATTCAGCAGCTCAGCAGAGAAAAAAATGAAAGACTTTTTCATTTGACTGTCAAAAGTAAGATTTCCTGTGGTAAAGAGGAAATGTCTGGGGAAAAGGACTAGACTGAGAGGCCAAACATTTAATACTTAGACTTCTTTCTCCTTTTCAGAAGATAAAAATTGTAGCTTGGTATCTTTTAAATGCACAAGTATTTTGCCACAGGAGCTTAAGAGAGCTAAGTTTCCTGGAAATGCAAAGTCAGGTTAAAGAAAGTTCCTGGAACATAAAGAGAGGTCTGTATGAACATACTGTAACTAACATGTTTACCTAGGGGGGAGGAGGAGGGGAAAGGAACAGGGAGAAAAGATGAGACAGAATAAAACCCGTTCTAAATCATCACATTTCACAAATGCCATTAAATCTACTCTTTAACTCTCATTATGAAAGTGCATCAATGCTTAATGAAGCACACTGACTTCTTGCCTTTGTCATAGGTACAGCCTTTTGGAAAGTCATAGATTAAGCCTCCAATGCTAGCATTTAAAAGTTCTTTATTGTAGTCAAATATTTGTTTTGAAACAAATTTCAGATTCATAAATCAAGAGCTGAGGTAAATACAAGCAAATGAAGCAAGAAATCAATACAGAACAAGAACTGCACATCCAAGGCTCTGTGCCTGACTCTCCATCTGTGCTCCTGGACAACTCAATGAAATCAGATTACTCACCACTACAAACTCTGTAGAAATATTGGGCTCATGAACATGCTGCAAATAAACAGTAGACTAAATTCATACAAGAGAGCGATATCACACAGAGATGAATCTGATCTATAAATCTTAATATAAATCTACCCTAAATCCTTCCCTCATGTTGAGCAGTTATTTCAGTTGTGCTTAAATTTAACTGGCCTCATTCTTTTACAATAGGGCTGGGCTTTTGGCACCAACTGGCAGAGCTGCTTGCTCCTAAGACGTCTGTCCAAATTGACCTATTACAGCCTTGTGAGCAATGCAAGTTGTATGTTTCTTTAATATCTTAGAAAAGAAACATTTCTAACTATTTGCAAAAGCACACAGGGTGTTCAGGTTGTCACTGAAATGACTGAGTAAAAAAGGACAGCTAGCATTTTATGCCTGCCAGCAAATTCTACCCCTTGTACAACACGGGTGAAATTTTTTGTTCCCAGTAATAACACAGTCTATTTTACTACAGGAACCTTCCTTCAATTATCAATCAGTTTTCTTTACAGTCATTGTCATTACCACACCTGTATTTGTAGGAGACCTTCCTGAACTTCTGTTCTTACCTTATTAGTTTCCTTAACTTCTAAAACCACCCTCCCCGCAGCGAACAGAAGCTGTGAGCCCTATTCACTAAGGATTTAGAGTCCATTGTAATTTGCAGACCACACAGGTCCGAAGAGAGGTATTCAAGAGCAATTCAAATGGCATACAGATTCCCAAGACAATCTGAGAAGGGTCCAAGGCAGGTGGGGAAGCACTTTTATAAACCTCCTACAAGATTTGCAGATATGAATATATGGAATAAGGAAGGAAGAAGTGATGCCTTTTGCTGTGAGAGCAAGGTTTCCAGGGAAACAGAAGGTCAAATGCACCCCCACATAATGAGACTGCGCCCGGAGCAGTGATCCTGCTGGTGCCAGAGAAGATTAGGTCAACTGCTAGCCCTTTTCTGGGTCTCAGGGAAAGGGTAGTGAATGGAAGGGGGAAAAAAGCTCCTAAAATACTATTTTTTTTTGTTAAAAATACCATGGCAAGTAGATATTGAATGTCAATTTTTTCTATACCAGCTCCTTGAGACACAGGAGCAACATACTGTGCAGAACTCTTTAGCTACGCTTTCCATTAAAGTTATATTTGAAACTAGTAACAAACATTTATTTCCATAAAGCTCAAGAGCAAATTCTGCAAACGTTATGCTCTAGATATTATAAACAGCAGTTGAAATATTCATGGGAGTATTTCTGAACTACTTAAAAGCTAAGGAAAAAAAAGCCTCCTGTTAGGAGTCTCTAAGAGTCACTTGAAATATTCTTGTACTTGCCAGAAGTTACCTTCAGAAAATGAAAGAGAATTAAATGAAAAATACCAAGTGCACTGTGAGCACACCTTATCTTATAGTAACAAACTAAGAATAGGAGTTCCACAGACTATTAAAAGTATTCGGAAGTTTTACCAGAAGTACTTCATATGAGGAGAAAAAAAAAAACCCAAACACATTAACTGGTAAAGAAGAGATAACAGACCAGAGAACCTGCCTTCAGTTAGTATTCAAGAAGATGAGAGCATTTAAAACGTAAAAAGCCATCTATCTGAAACTATCGGGGCAGGGGTGCTGTGTAAAAAACCAGCAACCATCCCTGTACAATCTACCTGTGAGAGCTGCAGCTAAAAGGTATAGTTCACATATACCTCCATATGCAGGCAATTTCCATGTACAATCGCCTAGCATTGGAGAACGTATGTGGGATTCCCTTGGGACCTTCGCTCCAACACCTCCCCCAACAGCCCTCGTTTGCCTTCACACACGGGAAACCTTAAGACCTTCTTTGCCAATCTCCCCCTACTATTCTTCCAAAGAACCAGTTGAAAATGTGGCAGACCTGATTGCCCACAGGTCCCTGGGAGCCAAAGGAGAAAAAGCCTGGAACAACATCCTAGGTTTTGGTTACAGTAGAGACAAACAAGAGTCTTACAGAACATGAAACAGAGGTGAACCTGCAAACACACTCCTAAATGAAACTGGGCTACAAATGACATTCTGTTATGAGAAGTTACACACAGCTGGTCTTCCTAATGCTCTCTTTCTTTGGTCCCCCTTCCTTGCTTTTTATTTTTCTCTCATTCTATTTGGATTGCCTCCCTCCTCTTGGGTTACAGCTACACAAGGCAAGACAGGAATCATCTTCTCACATAGTTAGCTAAAGCTTTCTAAGGAACATCTTTTCACCATTGACACGGCTTTCTACGAAACTTAAGTATGTAAAATGTCTTACAAACTTTTGTTTCAAAAGCATTGCGCAAACATCTTGGTACCAGAGCTTAACCGTTTCCAACCTACTTTTAAAACAGTGGTTGAACAACCTTATACTAAAAGAGAAAGCTTTGCTTTTAGAAACAGTTTTAAAAGTTAGGAGTTTTGCTGCTACAACAGCACAAGGAAGTATACATGCAATGTTAAGCAACTCAAAGATAGCTCAGACATTTGCGCACACACACACACTTCAATCCTACATCAACAGTGCCTTAAGCAGGCCATCTCTGATGCTGAATTTTCAAACTCTTCTGTCAAGAGAGTAATATTTTCTCTTGTGATCCAGGCTGTATGTGTTCCACAGTTTGTGTGTGATAGTATATTTACAGCTTAGTGAAGTTCACTACCTTGCCAAAATTTAAGCCCTTAAAATACAAGCTCCCATACAATAGCAAGATCCGCTGCTTTGATGCCAGTGAAACATGTGATCAGTGCATTCTAAAAACTCATTGTATATTTAAAAAAAAAAAAAAAATCTATGTATAAACAGCATCTCCATCCTTGAGGATTTCAAAATATGACAGGCAAGCCCTAAGCAATTTGACCCTACGCCAAATTTAGACCTGCTACGAGCAGAGGGTCAGACCACACAATGTCCAGATGTCCTGTCCCTTCTGACCTAAATTATTCTGTGACATTGCAAGAACTAAAGCATTTCTCTCTCCTTTTCACAGCTCTTCATTAATGTCAGTTTTGATTAAATAAAGGCCGTATTTAATATCGTGACTAAACTCACTGTCACAGACCGACTTTGTTCCAATCTCTTCACCCCAGCTTCAAAACTATCTCTTGCTTCCTCTTTTCTCTAGCCATGTGCTCCTACTGTCCTTCTCTCTATCCAAGGGAACAACCCACCTTCCATCCCCAAGCCCACAGATGCATGGGTCATCAATGTTATGCCAGCAAAAGGGCTGTTTGCTCTTTCTGCAATGCCTAATATAGGGTTCTCAAACAGCGAGACCCTTCAGAAGATATGGTTGGCAGCTACCTCATTATGCCATACTAAGCAAGGAAGGCAACAGCAGGAGATGGGTCAAAATGCTCTCAAGATGCCTAGGAAAATTGGAGGAAAGTAAGAAAACTCAAAAAAAGATGAACAGTTTTACTTGGTTTGCTGTAGTAAGAAAATCTATTCCAAAACTTTAAAGTTGTTTTTTTTTGACTGGAGAAAACAACAAGTTAAAACTAACTCATTCACCTCTTGATTCACATTGCTTTGAAAGTAAGCTACTGGTTTACAGCGAAGCACAGAAGACTAATCATTCCCTCAAGTACAGGGTCAGTTATAACAGCCTGGCACAAAAGTGCCATGCAGATTATCTGATTTCCAGAACTAACATAATAAAAATGTGTATTAGGAGGCAAAAATCAAAACAGAAAAAACATTCACTTACACTGGATGGTGTGCAGGAGCAACTTATATCTTTAGGATCTGAAATACAATACCATGCATAGTTAATAGTGAAAACAAGCACAACAAATATCTCTTGAAACACTCAGTAGTAGTGTAATTTACCAACACTACAGGTAACACAGAAGTAATCCTGGTAGAAAAGTGTAACTGCAGCTTTAGAGAAAAAGAAAAGTGTGCTCCATGGTACCCTTGCCATCCTATGACCACGTTAAGTGCTATATTCTGGCAGTTCAGCTCATTACAGCATTCTAGTTGTATCAGCAGAACTTTTTACTTCCTGAGATAGGACAGTTACAGTAAAATAAGCATTTGTACTAATACATCTGGGCCAACGCAGGGACAAGACAGGGCATTCCTTTTTAATTTCTAATTTAAAGTGACAAAATTTGCTCTATCAACTGACTTCTCTATTTCATAGCACAGAATACAGATGGCACGGGTTGAATGGTAGCACAGAATATTCACTGCAGCCAGGTGAGACATTCTGCTAAGACACATTTGAACAATTTATAAAGACAGGGAACTAATGACAAGGCAGCGGACTGAATTCTGAACTGTTACTCTCAGGTATGCCAGAGTCTGAGCGTATAAACTCTTTAGACAGACACGAGCTCTTCCCCATCTAGTGTTCTAGGAAGCAGCTCTTTAAGTATTGGCATAGCTTGAGGCATATACTTTGCACTGGGTTATTCAGCTTAAACAGCTGGTGTTCTTCACCCGTGACAAGCCCTCCATGGTTTTACCCCATTAAAGCACTTACGTTCAATAAGAAACAGGAAACAAACAATCCCCATCACAGCAATGATAACACCAGGCACCACAAAGGAGAGACCCCAGCACGCAGACACCCAATAAGCAGCAATTAAGGATCCCAAGATATTTCCCACTGAGGTGTGTGAATTCCAGATTCCCATGATCAAACCTCTCCTGCATTTAAAAAAAGCAACAAACCCACAAACATTTCTTATTATTCCAACAATAAGCATTACTCTATCTTGAGAAAAGTGTATAAAAAATGACTGTTCATCTGTGGTGTTACAGAAATATTTGCAATCATTGTTCTTTAACTGACCGCTTCTTTATGCTACAGTCTTTCATCTGCCAGCTTCAAGGCACCTAAATATTAAGAGAAGTGTTCTAAATACTTCCCTGTGTGGGACAGAACTCATCCTGCATTTAATAGCATTTACGGCACCACTAGGACTTGGATACTTCTTGACAGAGTTTCTTTGATAAAAACAAATATGCAGATGTTGCGTAGCATGTGCATGCTAATTCTGATGCTTCTGGGAATGAAAGTCCCCCTGCAAACACATGGCACCGATCATCTGATGCTTTCAGGATGTGTTAGACTTATGATGCAGAAGAAAACAATCTGTATAGGATAAGTAGAGCAAATTCAATATTTTCTGACCACATTCTGGACTTGCTAGGCACTACTAGAGGATAACACCTGTGCAAGCTTGGCTAACAGACACATCAAACTGCTGTCTGTCTGCCTGGAAATCCCAGATCAGAGCTGCTGTAGAATAGCTCCAGCTGAGTTAACATAAACCACAAAAATCCTACTGAAGTCACGACAGCAGGGTTTTTCTTCCTTGAAAGTCACAGGAAAACTGCCTTGCCCTCAGCAGGATTTTACCTGGAGCATCCTAACTTGAACTAAACGAAATCTTTTCCTTTGGCTGAAGAAAAGATCTAAGAGGTCTGCTCACGTTTCACGGATTTTGTAGCAAAATGAAAACAAGAACTGGATCACTGACATTCAAACCAGAGCCCTATCCACCAGTACACCATGCGGCCTCCTGGAAGTAAAGGCTGTTGCTTTTGCACAAAGCAGAATCTGAATAAACGTATTTGTTCTGCACAGACTCACCAATTTTGTTCAGTATTGTATGACAGTTATCATTCTCCATATTTTGTAACGTTCACCAAAAAGGCTGCAGGGACTACGGAAAAGTAGTTTGAACCTGTATCTTCTTAACTATCCCATGATTTTCCATAGCAAGCATATACCTAATTTTCGTACGTCCTTCTCTTGAACCGATTGACAATAATGTTCATTCAGTGGTACGTATCTAAATGGATAGCACATTACTATATGCTACATGCATCAACCATTATCAGAGCCAATGGATTTAGCACGCAGCTCTTGCAAAATTTATGGAAAATTCCTGTATGGTATGACAAAATAAACATTACAAGTGATGTCTATGCAGGATTAAGGAGAGGAAAAAAAAAGAAGACAATTTAAAGAAAGTGACAGAAAGGTTAAATCATTTGCCATATGTTTTGGGGGTTTTTAGTTAAATTTTCAAGTTTCTGTAAGTGTGTTAGAAAAAAAGACATTAGGCAAAAAGATACTTTTAGAATTACACCCTGACAGCTGCTTTGAAAAACAAATGAAAACATGGGAAATTCCACATTAAAATGGCATAATAACAGCCTTTATTAAAAGCAGTTCTAGACTGTTAATATTAGCAAGAATTATTCTTAATTCAATTCTGAAATATTTCATCTGAAAAATTAAACATCAGACTAAAGAGCTACCACAGAACACTGCTTTGACATGAGAGAGAATATTTCAAACCGATACATAAACTAATCAGCATAACAAAGGAAACTCCTCTCAAAGATCTAACTGTTTCATCCCAAAAAAACACTGAAGCAAAAGAAAGATACTTAAACTGACTATATTACAGCCCAGAATATACTGATTTGTACTTCCAAAACTTTGGATTATGTATTATTTACCTTCCTTTTCCAAACCAGTTGCCAATACACGTAACGACACTCGGCCAGCCAGTAGTTTGCACCAACCCATTAGCTATCTGAAAGTATATAAAAATAATAATAAAAAACCACACCCTATAATAAGTCAGGTTCCTACACAATTTCTGCCAAGTGCCTCATTGGGAAAAGGAAATTTAGTGGGGGGTTTTGAAAGCATTCTTTTCAAAGAATAAACAAGTCACTATGTTTTACGGAGATTCTTCCCTCTACCTACATCTCTCCAATTATTTTATGATTTAAAACACAAAAGATTGTGATTCAACCACATGATTACCAAAAATCACATTGCACTGAACTGAACAGAGAAACAAATTCCCCACACTCAAATAGCAGTATAATACTTACCTCAATTTGAACACACAGCAAAGCATGTTTGTGATCAAACAAAGCAGAAAACCAGAAAACTTTAGGGGAGACCGGACAGCTTTGAACATTAACTTTAAAATGCCAACAGACACCTGTAAATAGGCTGAGGAGAAACTTAACTTACTATATTCAGGCTGAAGTAAGAAGTATTTCAGCCTCCATGTTACACAGGTCATAACCCTAACTCATTGCAAATCCCAAAGAGCTCCTTATCTAGAATCACACATTAACACAAAGATCATGATGCAATAATGCACATGTACAATGAGCACTTGAACACGCAACAAAAGAACCTTACTCTACCCAACAAAAAAAACCAATTAGGTTGGTGGTACCAGACCACCCTGGGTATTACAGGGTTCGCTGGCCACACCCTGCAGCGAAGCACTGGCAGAGGTACGTTAGCTTAGCCCTAAAGAAGCCAGTTCCTGACTTGGAAACCATGCAAGCCAAGAGTGCTGGGGCAATGCCATGGTTAAATGGATGACTCAGTGAAATGGTTATAAAAGCTTGCAGTACCCAAGTTAGCGTCGCTGCAGCACGCCACGTTGCACAATGCCGTGCAAATGTGCCAGTGGTGAAAGTGCTGCTGCAATAACACCAAGGAAGCAGCAGTGCAGACCTGTCAAAAATGACTGAGAAGTGCTAATCATATCCTGGTTGTGACCTAAATTCCATTTTAGGTCAACGGCAAATATTCTGGTGACATCTGATTAGATCTACAAGTGCTCTGAAAAATGGCACACAATGAATCTCGTTAAGGGAAGCTGCCTGTTCTCAGCCACACCAATGTGGGAGACTGTTCACCGTTAGCAGATAAGTGTAATTTTCCTGCAGAAAAAGTCAGGATGTGTCACTCAGGTCTTGGCAGACTGACAAAAGCAAATACATTTGTTTTAAAACTCGCCCACATTTAGGCTTGCAAAGATTTGATCACTGATTTGACACAGACTGAAACGCTTTAATTTGTTTGCAAAGACTTCTTCCACTAAAAAAACATTTTTCAAAAATAAAACCTGGGGCTATCCACTCTATCATTTCTGCCTGTCGCCAATGACAACGTACGCCAGCATTTACATCCTCCCATCCAACAACTAATCATTGCTCGTAACTGAAAAAAACCCAAGGCAACACTAAACAGCACCATGGAAACTCACAGTATCTAAATAACACCGTGCCTACCTGGGCCATTATGTAAAACCACAGATTATGTATGTTATAGAAATAACCCAATCCAAACATTGCAGTGAAGAGTCCGCTAGCAAGCATCCCAACTGTCAGATAGTACCGGATAGGCAGCCGCTCTCCTATTATTCCACTTAGAATGTGGAAGAAAACAAAAAGAAAGGCAGTAATTAAAAATGAGATCATATCCCAAGCCTTCACCAATAAAGAATATTTTGTGTTGTTAAATTCTGGTTGAGGCGAAACTTTATTGGTAAATAAACTATTGTTTTCCTTCACAGCAGCAAACGAGCAACTTTTAGCACTTGACAGAAGAAAACCCCAAACGTTTCACATTCACTATTTGCCAAGTGCTGACATCTGCACAACCATCTTTCAGGGAGACACTCACCTGGAGCACACTGGAAGTCATTCATTTACATTTTCCAAATGACCCCTAAGGCGGGACATGTCCCTGGCCATTTAAAGTGAGACTTGTCTCCCCTCCTAATGATTCTAGCTATGAAGGTTCTGGGTTTAGTCAATAAAAAGAAGCAACTCCAAACAGCAGCTAATACTGCACACCTTAAGATGGGTTTGGTATTATTTTTTAGGAGGTGTCTGCTTCCGTCCTTTGACTACAGAGAAAGCCATGACAACCAGTTTAATCTACATGTGCAAGCTGGAGACTGATGAAGTTTGAGGACATATATTCCAGCGTATATTCCTTTATATTCCATAGGAAGGAAAGACAGGCTAGACTGCAAGTTGGAAAGCATTCCTGTACAAGGCAGTCAGGATGGGTGCAGGTAAGCAGCTTTCTATACACCAACCCATATGATACCACTGGGGACTCAGAAGGATGTGGGGTTTTTTTCCCCTCAGCAACCAAGTGCTCTGTCTCTTCACCAGAAGCTTTACAATACGAAAGGACACTATCTCAGAAGTAGTACAAGCCTCATAAACTAACAGTAAGCAACAAAGCAAGTTCCCAAGAGAGTGAGGTTTACCTTAAATACATTCCCACAGCATATGCACACAGAAACGAGTAATCCAGTGCTCCCAGTAACTGTTTGTAGTTGTTCTTGTCTAAGAATAATTTTAAAATAAATTATCAGTTTAAATGTACCAATAACTTCCCAGCCATTTTTACATATTACAAGAAAAGTGTTAGTGACATGCACTAACGTTTAATTTTCAATAGGCACTTTTAGACTTAAGCATGCGTTTTGCAAAACATTTTATTTAACAAAAAAAAACCCAAAACCTCTACAACTGACCCTTTTGCCTGCAATATATTAGGAAAATATTGCTAGACTCGTTCTTAATTCCACCTTATTCAAAACAGCATTTTGGAAGAGAAGACACATCAGTAATTAAGAAGGTGCCCTTTTCTTACAGGTCCTTAGATAAAAGAAAACCCAAACTTTAACAGACTTCATTAAAAGTGAAGAGACGTGTGGCAAATGTGTGAGGTCCTAACACTCAAACTGGCTAAAAACCCCCACCATTTTTAAGGAATCAGCTTAATATATTTTTTTTTAATGGTTAAATCCTTTTGCATTTCATTTTCAACTATTCATAAGGCACAGAGATAGAAGTCTTGTTTAAAAAAAAAAACAAATAGGGTTCTGCTGTCTACAGCAAATGACCATAATCACAACTAAATGGAATTTGCAGGCAGGATGGAGGGAGCAGGAGGGACTCCACCCAGATAGGAACACCAGGTCTAGTCTCAAGAGACCTGAGCTCATACCAAGACAGACAGCTTGTGTATTTGCAAGCAGCCACAGTTCCCATTGACTTCGAGAATAAAGTCACAGTTATTAAAACATTCCTTCTTTCAGTGTTACTCCCAGCTCGCCAGCTATGTTGCCTGAAAAACAGAGCTGAAAGAACAAGTCTGGAGTGCCATCCCACAGGGGTAGCTTTGCCATAACCTATGTGTTCACGGAAAAAAGGAGGACACTGGAGCTCAGAAGTCTCCATTAAGAAAGCTAACTAGTATTTTAGGCAAGAAAATGCTGTCTCCCCTTGGTCCAGGGACAAGAAACAACTTAAACTGCATCCCAATACATCTGGAAACCTGTGGGACTAAATAATTTCAGTAGACTGATTACCTTCCAGTAGGCAGTTAATACATAGAATTTTGTCCACAGAAAACCCAGAGCTCAGATCTTTAATTATCTTTGAACAGAGTAGGGCTTTTTTTTTAATTGTTAATTAAAGAATAATTAGAATGGATGGCTAGATAGACTGGAATGGACTGGCACATTGACAGAATGGACTTTCTACTTCACTGATGTTCTCAGTAGTGATAAAAGTGTCAAGGAATGATTCAAAATCTCTATTAAATTCAAATACAATTAAATTCATATTTAATTGTAAGTAGTCAAAATTTTTTCTATTTAAGTGAAAAGGCAGGTTCATAAGCTATTCAGTAAGTTGTCAACTCTATTCTCCCATTTTTCTCCATTAAAATGGGGAGAAAAAAACCTCTTCCTGACAGATAAGGACTGTGAAAAGTTCCAATTTAGATAAACACCAAGTAATTTCATGCAAAAGACTGCTGGACCTTGCATTAAACCAGCAGAAAATTATAATGATTTATTTTATTCTTCACCCTCTTTTTCATTAATAGATATTCTAAAGACAAATGCCATTTTCTGACTGAAAACTGATCTACTGAAACCATCTCACAGCTATAACAGGCAAAATAACGTCAGTTGTTTAAGTGACTTTAAGCAGTGAAGACATCATAAGGTAAGTCACAACTTAACTTTCTTTGGAAAAATCAATGAGAACATGGAAAACAAAACACCCCTCCCATACACATCTCCAGAACCCCTCCACACATGAAGAAGAAATAGCAAGAGGCAAATAATCTAATTATGAATTTCAGCTCATTATTATGAAAAAAAACCCAACAACCAGCAAACCAAACCCCAAAGACAAAACCCCAACCCTTACCAAATGGCTCCCAACCGCACTGAGATACATTAGATGCCTTCTTGACAGGCTGAATGCGTGCAGCATACTCTTTGTAGGAGCTGAGTTCCACTTCACGTGAAGCAGCACAATGCTTATGCAGCTCTCCCTGATACAGAAAGGAAATTTCAAACTGGAAAATTCACTTGTGACTGTTAATCCACACACAGCAACAAATTTAACAATTCTAGCTCTATATGAACCTGTGTCAAACCCACTGAAATCAGTAAAATTGTTAGCCATTATTAATTGCTTGGTATTTTGCTGGGTGAAGCCACCATTACACGAAAGAGTAATTATGTGGTTAGAAGGAAATGCTACAGTGAACCGGTACTTCTGATACTGCAGAATTTCAAAATTCTTCACAAACACCAAGCTACTTTGCCCAATGTTACTCATCAGCTATATACAACACAGCCCTGGGGGCTTTGATTTGTGTTTGGCAAGTTACACAGGCCAAAGATTAAACTAACAAACCTAGAATTATTATCTTACTGACACCAGCTCCACCGGGAACAAACAAATTTGACTATGATGCTCAACAGTTCTTGGAACAGTCTTGCAGACTTACCATGTTTGATTCATCAGTAACAAGCAACTTTTCTCAAACATATGAATGTAAACCTGTAAACTCTTAAAGATCTATAATTGGATTAATTCACAGGAATTAAGTGCAGGCATAGCTGTTTCGAGCCTTAAATCCAAAGATCAGACATACACACAGTATTCTAGGTGTGGTCTCACTAAAGTTTACCAAGTAAATGTCACTGTGTACCAGCTTTATCAGTTTTTCATCTTTTAAACCATCCCAAGTTAAACTTTAATGCCGCCTTTCACAAAAGGAAATACTGAAAAACATTACGACTTCCGTGTTTGACAGGAGTAGAAGGATGTTTAAACAAGGATGTAACCTTGCTTACCTTAACTATACTAATAGGTTTCCTTGACAAATGGAAGCTGGCATACAACAAGAAAGTGAGAGAGAAAATGAAGGCTCTATACCTATGATATAAAAAGAAAGAAAAAAAAGAGTATTTGAAAATTATTTTATTCAGATTTACTTTTAGCACTAAGTTACATAAAAACATTACATAAGCCATTGGTAATCTTGGAATAGTGGAAAACAACTTTTTTCATGTTCTCTAACAGCCTGAAGAATGACTGGGTGGTAATCTGGTATCACACAGCCTATTATGGTCCCTAATTTTTAATGAACCTTTTTCAATCATTTTCTGTCTCGTAAACTTTTACATAACAAGGGTCTTGTTTTATAGTTCTGACATATTCACAGAATCATTTAAAAAAAAAAAGTTACCCTCCGAGTTATTCACCCTCATAACTGAAAACATCCTCACAAGTGATAAAACTGAAATGACTTTGTCCTTGCTGCTCTACTAGAGAAAGCATGTGATGATAAAATTGCTCAAATGGGAAGTGCTTGGTTTTTCACTATTTTTTTGTTATTCACACACAACTGACTCAGTATTCTATCTCAGAAAGCATGAGAACTGATACTATCCAACTTCCAGGATTAGTTTTCCTAAAGCAAAGAGGTTTTGGTTTTGTTCCGGGTTTTTTTGTTTGTTTGTTTGAAGTATTACAGTAGCAAGAATTAAAACTGTAATTCTACAAAACTATACTACCCATCAAATTACAGGCGAGAAAATACACTTCTGGTTAAGAAAAGAACACTACCTTCGAGCACTCCTCCCACCCAAGAGCTTGAAAATAAAACCCTGAACTTTATCCCTTCAAATACATACCTTGCAAAGAAAAGAACAAAAGGCTTTATTCTCTAGCACACTTGACTAGTAAGGGTCTGTCTGGGTTCCCCCAACAAAGTATCTCACTTTTTAAATGTCAGCAATATTTATTTGTAATACAGCTGACTATGTTTTCTTGCTGTATATATTAAGCCACGAAAAAGCAAAAATAGAGGAAGGCAACAGTATCATCTTCCCCAGATACAAACTCACATTGTCCAAAACAAGGATCACCACCATACTTTAAGACTTACCACTGATCTCGTGAAAATGAAGTGATGAAGCGAATCCCAGGAGGAAGCTGAGCCATCTACTTTACAGCTGGTATCAAACTTTAGGCGATACAATTATGTACTTGTGACAACGTTATCTGTTCTTCAGCATGTGTAACAAAGATCCTCCCAAAGCCCTGCGATGGCAGGCAGTTACAGACGTGGAAGACACGCTGCTGAGTTGATCTCCCTGCAGGGTTTTTTTCTTATGCCTTCAGTCACGACGCGGCAAACTCTTCACCCTGCCTTTGTTAATTGCTGATCTTCAAATAAGAGAAGCTGATAAGTAAATATTCTTATCGAGTTACGGTAATATTTTCTAATCATAACATTTGAATCAGCAATTATCTATTTCAGAGACAAGTAATTAACATAACTAACCTTCTAGGCATAAAAAATGTAATGGGGAATTTTAAGCCAATATAAATTGCAGCCTTTTCTGAATTTTATAATGTATAATCTGTTTTGAGAAGTCAGCAAAGTATAAAGCAGCGGGGACACAAGGGAAAGATGCACTTAGAACATGATCCAAAGCCAGCTGATATCAAAACACTCTACTTTGGTCCCAGAAAGACTACAAATAGGCAATTCCCAACCTTGCAAAGACCTATTTTAACCCATCAGAAACATTCATGAGGTTGAAATTTGTTCAAAATAGACTGAAGTGTTTTCAGTCCAGAATAGAGACTCCTCCAGCTTGAGAGTGGGTGCTGCTGAACAATGCCGCCAGCAAGACTTGACCAGCACTCCTTCCAGTCTGATTTCCCTGTTCCAGTATCAGTGCTGCACAAAGCACAACATTGTCAGAAAAGTTGGGGGAAAAAAGTAGTTTTCTCACCACTTGAACTCCCTACATCAGCTCATCCAGCACAAGGGAGAAGGCAGGCTCACATGCGTACATGACACACAGGGAAGAGTGAGACTGTGGCAGCATCAATTTAGTTTGGTTTAAAATCTTGTAGAGTTCCTCCTGTTTGTCCAGATAGGGGCTGAAGCCTCTCATCAGAAAAAGATGTACAGTACCCTTTATTACAGGTACCGCAACAGGAACTAGCTCCACTGTTATTTCACAGCACGTCTGAGCCAACTATTGAGTAAGATGACAAAAGGCACTGTAGGCAAAAGGTGTGACCGCAACTTACACGTGCAAACCAAGGCTCCCTGCGTGCTAACAGGCAGAGCCAGCCCAGCAGGATGCAAAATAACACACCAGGGTCTGCAACATAATCACTACCCTCCCAGTAGCCAAGCTAGTGGGCTTAACACCAGCACCAGTCACTGCCATGCTCCTGACAGCAAGCTGGTAGGATCAGGACTAGCTCTCCTGGTAAACAACGGGAGGCAAGCTAATGCAAAATCTCCTTTGAAGAAAACACGCCTGGCAAGACCAAGGGTTTGTCTTAACCTGGGAATTTTAGAGGCTGCCACAGGGCAGGAAAAGGCCTCTCTCTCCTCTCACCTTTATTGCCCCATCTTACGACAGAAATCAAAACTATTCCTCCTCAGCAGCTGAATGACAACACCAAACAGTATCTACTGTGCCAAAGCTGGCAACTTGAAAGGCCTCTTCCCCAGGAATGGGGGGAGACTACCACCCTTCACATAACAGAGTATCCCACCAAAAGATCAAGGGTCTGCTCCTTTATGCTAACACATTTTTGTCATACCTTTCTTTTTTTCCATAGTGCCCTGGTTCAGCTTGACACCTCCCTCCCCTAAAAGTGAATTGACTTGCTAATCTCGTTTGGCATGTTCCACCTCCTCTCCCCCCCACCGGCCCTGAATCAGATAACTGGTTGTGCAATTAATCAGCAAGCCCCATAATCATTCCCACCCAAACATGAGTTTCCTACCTCCTCTCTGAGGTTGCAGAGATTAGGGAAAGTGCAATCCTACACCCTCCTCCCCTCTCCCACCCCCAGCTGCAAGTCCCTGCTTCCCTCTGTGCCAAATCTTGTAGACACAAAGCAATGGTTCAGGTGGTTGATCCAGCAGAAAACCTGCCCTGAAAAACAGCTGATCAAATAGAGAATAATAACTCACTCTGTGGCCACAAAACTACTAGGTAGGATGAATCTGAAGTAGAGGGAGCATAAAGGTGGGACTGCCCCTTACAGCCATGGCTAGCTAGGTAGGTCAGACGAACCTTAATTTGAAACCAACATCTGCTTGTCAGCAATTTCACGTTTGGTTGAAATGCGCTGTGGATAGCTCCACCGGGAGAAGAAAGGCAAGAAGAAGAAGAGGTGGGCACAAGCAGCCCAGAGCAGGAGTGAGTTTTTCTTCCAGCAGTAACAGATCTATTTCAGCATGATCCCAAACCCCATTTCCCCTCTCTTGCATTTATTCCAAACACCAAAACTATTATTTAATCTGACCACAATAAGTGAGGTGACAGAAATATCTACTGGGAAAAAAAACTGAGAGGCCAGCAAAAAACCAAAAACTTGAGGTCATAAACCTCTTTAAATGGTTGCCTTAAAATATAATGGAAGAAGGCAACTGCCATCATAGAAAAGTAATTGTTTAACCGGTTACTATTTAACAGCTTTAGCATAAGCTGAAAAAGGCTTCAATGCACCTTACAAAAGGTTTCAATGCTAAGCGGTCACACAAGGTTGCACATCTGTGCACCTGCTGCACAGATCATACCACACCACCTCCTAACAGCGTATCCTTGCCATAAATCCAGAGTCACAAGGCCTTAGCAAAGACAACTGGGTACTAGCAGTGTTTACAGAAATGCACCCTAAGTCTCCTTGATGGAAGCTGATTTCATTTTATCTACTGCGGGCAGAGAGACCTGAGTTCTCATTTACTCATCAATAACTTACCTCTGTCCCTACATATCCATAACTTCCTCTAACAGAATCACAGAATGTCAGGGGTTGGAAGGGTCCTCAAAAGATCATCTAGTCCAACCCTCTTGCCAGAGCAGGACCCCCTAGAGTAGGTCACCCAGGAACATGTCCAGGCAGGTTTTGAATGTCCCCAGAGAAGGATATTCATGTGCTTTTAATAAACAAATAAACTTCCTTCACAAAAGCAAAGAAAGTTGTGGCAATAAACCTTGTGATAACAGGTTATAAAGATCACACCCTGCTGTAGATTAAACAAGACTTTAAAACTAAGCTATTCTTCAGAAATTACATTAGCAGGCAACAACATGTAACTGGTAGTTTACCAATACATCCTTTATATTACTTTTCACTAAGGAAGCCCAAGGACAAACTCCAATTCAATCACTTGAACTGGTTTTATGTTCTTTCATTTTCAGCAACTATTTCACCTGACAGTGAAAACATACTTCTGCTTCCTCCTTGTTGTACTGCAATGTATACAGCAATATACTGACCTTGAATTCATATTTACCTTTGAATCCATATTTAGCTTCCAAACTTTGTATTGCTTCTTCAGGCTTCTCGTTGCACTCGCTGAAACATAGCTCCCTCCCTCTTTCAGGAAAATACAGTCATTTGTGACTGGCTTTTACCACTGCAAATCTTGGCTCAGCTGTGCTGTGTGCTGAAGAGACCGAGTGAAGCTCCTGCCTGGCCCCTGCCGGGTTATGCACAGTTCCCCTGGAGGGCAGATATTAATTCCGTGTATGAGAGACAGTAGGTAATGCAAGTCCTCATCAGGGTGTCCTTAAGGACTCAAAAGGCCTTTAAGACACATGCAGATCAAATGCATATTGTGCTTAATAACTAGCAGCTCTGCACCTGAGCCATAAACTGCCAAATCCATCAGCTTTGGACCTTAAATGGGCATATTCCTTCCATTTAACACAGAAAGCAGAAAACAGTTAATCCTGGCTTAAAAGCAGGGGGCAAGAGTCCTTGTGAACCCCCAGTGAATCCAAAAGTGCGTCCCGGGACCCCGGCACCCAGCCTCCCTCAGCGCCCGAGCCCAGGCCGAGGTCAGCACACCCT